ACTCAGTGGTTTCCAGAGATGAAAACTACTGATGATCTTCACAGTATACATGATGAACAGAAGATCTGCAAAGGCCACAGCAGTCAAAACCACTAATATCAAATGATCAGAGGCAAAGAAACAAACCCACTGAATTTTTTCATCACACCTTCTGTTCTCACAATGTTTAATGATAATCTGACCACATAAATAAAGGAAGTGAATGTTATAAACTCTTCTTTATACACAATTGAGTTTAAATCTAAAACATTTGGGAATTGGCTGGGTGCAGTGACTCACGCCTGTAATCCTAACACTCTGAGAGGCCAAGGTGGGTGGACTGCTGGAGCTCAGAAGATTGAGACCATCCCAAGCAAGTGCAAAGACCCCATCTCTAAAAATAACCGGGCATTGTGGTGGGCGCCTATCGTCCCAGCTACTCGGGAGGCTGAGGCAAGAGGATCATTTGAGTCCAAGAGTTTGACATTGCTGTGAGCTATGATGCCACAACACTGTACCGATGGTGACAAGGTGGAACTCTGTCTCAAAATAAACAAATAAATAAATAAACAAATCATTTGGGAATTTACAATCCTCAAGTTTGAAGAAAATGAGGCAAATGTCAAATAAATATAATATCAGGAATTATCTGAAGAGCTAGTCACTTTTGAGCTAATAAAGATTTCAGTTTGATTTCCTAATACTTCTAGATATGTAATATTAAACAATGGCAAAGACGCATAAAGGAACAGCTTTACTTATCTTAACAACCTAAATTAGTAATCATGTTCGGAAAATTGTGACTGCTATGAATCATATTCTAATTCTATGAAAATCATGTCCATGCATGGCATATGGCATCAAGAATAATTCATAGGTTTTTCTTTTGTTTTTAGCGTTGTTGAAACAGAGTCTCACTCTGCCACCCTGGGTAGAGTGTCATGGCATCATAGCTCACAGCGACCTCCAACTCTTGGGCTCAAGTGATCCTCCTGCCTCAGCCTTCCAAGTAGCTGGGACTATAGGCCCCCACTACAATGCCCAGCTATTTTTAGAGACAAGGTCTCACTCTTGCTTAGGCTGGTCTGTAACTCTTGAGTTCAGGCAATCCACTGGCCTCGGCCTCCCAGAGTGCTGGGGTTACAGGTGTGAGCCACCATGCCTGCTGAATAATTCTTAGTTAAGTAAAATAATCCACGAATCAGCAGACAGAATACTTCTTCATCTCTTTTCATTTCTGGTATGAAAAAAACTAAAAACTATAGTTTATTTTTATCTTTTATCAAACTATCTGCTTGATAGTTTACTTTGATCAAACATTCCAGACATATAGAAAACAGAAAAATAGACAAGGTATGGTGGCTCATGCCTATAATCCTAGCACTCTAGGAGGCCGAGGTGGGTAGTTTGCCTGAGCTCAGGTTTTCAAGACCAGCCTGAGCAAGAACAAGACCCTATCTCCACTAAAAAAAGGTGGGTGCCTGGAGTCCCAGCTATCCAGGAGGGTGAGGCCGGAGGATCACTTGAGCCCAAGAGTTTGAGGTTGCTGTGAGATATCATGCCTTGGCACTCAACCCAGGGTGGAAGACTGAGACTCCATCTAAACAAAAAAAAAAAAAAAAAAAAA